GCCGCAGGATCAGCGGATCAATGCGCTCGAGTCTCAGCTGACCAAAATGAAGCACGCTTGGGTGCTGTCCCTCCTGCAGGTGCAGGCCAAGGGCAGCGGCGGCATGTCGGCAGCCAATCTTAACACCGTCGCGCTGCAGCGCCGCAATCAGCCGCTGCCCCCGAAGGCGGAGATCCGCACGCGCGCCTCCCGCCTCGCCTCGGACATATTGACAGAGTATCTGCAGCGGAAGCCACATCGTGCGTCAGCAGGAGAATTCGCCGTCTTCCCCACCGTCGACGTGAAGCGAGTGCTGCAGATTTAAGTGCTTCAGCAGGGGGCGGGGCAATAGCTAGGCTAGGTTTATAAGTGCGCAAACATTTTAGAGATTGCAAATTGCCTAGGAATGTGATGTTGCATCGCTTCATGCAACATGAACTCTGGGCAAGAGCTCGCCTCTTGCTCAACGTTCACGTAGCATTGGCGCGTTTGGCACTCCACATTGCTTGCAATTTGTTTTTGGTAATAGTACACACGCTTACGCCGAAGCAGTTTGTATCCAGCTTTCCTCCAACCCAGCTCGAGCTCCCACTCCAGCTATTAACATCCACTAATATTCCCTGTATCCTTTCCCAGAATCTGCCTTACGTGGGGGCCGCTGCATTATTGCTGATTGTTGTATTTGCACTTTGGCTGCGCTTTCGCAGCGACGTTCGATTTGTGTGGAACCTGCGTTGACCCCATCGCTGGCGCTGAGGCGATCCTGCTTGCATGCATCAGATGCGTGCCCATATACATATATATTTGATTGGTATTTAATTTATGTTTGTATCATAATGTATGTCAACTATGTAACCCTGTGTATCCCTAACGAGGCCTCTAATGAAATCAACTCATGCGAACATTTTTACAAACATGTATTATCTATGAAGCGAGAACTATGTGAATAAAAGACACCTACAACATAACTAACTTTCATCTTGTAACTAAAATGGATATGGAATCAAACATAGTTTGCATATGACAATTTATATAAATATCTATATATTTATATATACACATACATATTATATTCAAATAAACGAGTATATTTTCCAGATGTTGCTTAACAAATCCCAACTGTGTTTTTATTTTAATCAAGGTGTTAACTAAAAAAACAATTTTTTTTTTTTAATTATTAGCTTTTTCTAAACACATTTAAATTTATTTATCATTCGGCATATTGAAAATGTAATACTATTATTTATTAAAGTTTTCTTTGATCTAATTAATCTCTTTTGAAAATATATAGAATTTATACAAATAAATGTATATAGCTTAATAAATAAATACATTAAAAATGAATTCTCTTGTTCAATTATAAATTTCGATTTTTGCTATAAATAAGTTTACATTTTTGCAATATTAATAAAACTTTACAAATTTCCACACATAAAAAAACCCACAACACAGAGCAGCCAGCTGTGGAACGTAAGCACTTACCATCCACATTATTCGATTGGCGCTCTTAAGTTCCATCAACAACAGGTCGGGCGAGAGCACGGTTTTTTCTCTTTGCCAGCAGCGCTCTCTGTGCAGCTGTCTCTTTCTAGCATCATTATAAAAATAACAGCAGCAACTCAATGCCGCTTGGTTACAGCCAACAGCCACAAAGCCAACAACAACAACTACAAGCATAATAATGACGACGACAACAACAACTACAACAGCTGCAATAGTCATAGAAACTATTACATTAGCCGACCATAAACCATGATGGTCACAAAAGTAGAAGAGCCCGCCCCTCGCGCTGCCCTTGCTTGAACTGAAGCGCAAGCTATGTGAAGTACAAACAGCTGGCGTTGCTCTGCTGCTGCTGCTGCTTCTTCTTCTTCTTGCTCTTCCTCTGCTTGTTGCCCTTTCTGGCTGCCCTGAGCCTGGCCTAAAGCCGTGTCTCTTCCAGCTGACCTTATTGCTGACCTCAATTGCAATTGCATTTGCTTTAATTCCTCTGTTTCTTCCTCTTCGTCAATTGAGCCGCTTGCGGAAGTCGATGGCCCAACTCCGTCTCGTCTCGTTCCGTTCCGATGTGATCCAGTTCGGGTAGCGTAGCATTTAGAATATGTTTCGGGTCTGCGCTTTGGTGAACTTTTATAGAGTGACTCGCATGGGTCTGGGGCTGGCTTAGGTCTCGACAACTGGACTGAATTCTCAATTCTCACGCCCAGCTCTGACCTTTTTAGCAGTATTTTGGCTGAGCTTTAAGCGATTTCGAAATATGCTGGCTGGTTCTGGGCTAAGAATTCGACATCAAGGTTCTTAGAATGCGCCAAATGTTGTAATTGAAATGTATCTCTATCCGTATCTGTATCTGGTTGCCGCACACACGATGCGCTCTGCTGGGTGGAGATCCTTAACTGTCTTTGACACACATATCCAGTAGCCAGCACACTGACCGAGCCATGTTCTCTTGTCATTGGCGCACTGCGATTCGCAATGCATTACGAAAATATATGAAAACACAAACAATACGCGATACATAACAAAAACTTCGCGCATAAAGCAAAGCAACGCAGTGCTTGTAATGCCCCAGAGCTGTTGACTCATGCCCATGGCAAGTGCGAAAAAACACATCATAATTATGGCATTATTAGCCAGGTCCGAAGAGATGCAGGCAGACTTGGCATATACTCTAGAAAATGGGAATGGAAATTTTATCATTCATTTCAATGAATAATGTAAGACTTGGAATATGAATATTTCTTATTTGGCATATATCCGAGGAATATTACGTACTTCTAGTAGAATATCTTATCTTGACAAATTCTTGACTTTATTCAAATAAAAAGTGTTGGTAAATTCATCCTGATTCCTTCCCCTAATTCAAATTCATTGCAGTTATTTTCCTTTTCTACATTAATTTCGTACCGAAATCGTAGCAATCTCATATTTCCTTATCAGATTGTAATCATACCAGTGGATTAAGTTCTATGCAAATTTTAATCAAAACTCTCATATAAAAAGAAGTCCTTTTAGAGAGACTTATGTTATATTTCTCTGAAAACAGCTTCTAATATATCAGAGCTTACACCCATCCAACCTTCCATTTACAGAGTATCTTAAGAAATAATTGAACTCAAATGAAAAAAAAGCAAAACTGAAACCAGTTTGGGTGCCACCCGAAGTCAAGGAGTTAGAGAGAGGGACGTATTGAGGGGAAAGGAGATAGGAATTGCATTGGTCTTCTAAATGACCGCAACAAGATCGAGAGTGCGCAAGAGATTTGAAAAGAACTCAAGAACACGCCTCGTTACGCATCGTTACAGTGACTACAGATCGATCGAACTGCTCAGCCGATGCCCTACAAATGTTGGCCAACCCGCTCCAAAGGAGGCGACTGACCCGACCGACCGCTCGAGGCTCGAGTTTGAGGAGCTGCAAGAAAAACAAAACCCTAAGATCAACAACGGAAGCGCGAACGAAGTTTCACTCTTCAAGCGAGTTCTTGGTTACGCCTGGTTAATTACAAAGCAACCAGCTAAGCAGTCAAATGCTCAATTTGGTAAATGACCAAACAGTAGCCATCACTATCAACATCAACATCAACAATCAACCATCAACAGACGCCCCAAACATAAACAAGAGGCCACGCAATGGATGGCCACATAGTAGTTCCGCCTAATGGCCTGGGTATTGTCTTGTCTGCCCGTTGAAGGGTTAGCAAGGGGTCTGGGTCTTCGGTCTCCGGCCGCCGGTCTCCGGCCGCCGGTCTCCGGGTCTCGGTTAGAACAATGGGGCCAGGCACAAGAGTTAAGCTTGAGGCATCTTCAGTTGTTTTTTTCTTTTGCCACTTGAAGCGCTCATTGTGCATGTTGTTTAGGTCTTGGGATTTGTTGGTTGCGGTACCACGCACTAGACCCAATGTCTATATCTGTGCTCCATTGTTATTGCCGCTCTTATGTGCGCTATTGTTGTTGCTCTTATTGTTGTTGTTTTTGTTTTTGCTGTGACTTGGCGTCGTATGTAAATTTGATTTTCATTGAAATATTCGCTGTGCATTGCAGCCCCCTCTCTCCCGCTCTCACTCCCCTTCCTCTTATCGTAGCATGCACAACACACAGTTTCAATGTAGTTCACTTGAACGCTTTCGTAAGCCAGCCCCGCAAAAGGGTTAACAGAGAGCGCTACAGAAAGAGAGAAAGACAGAGAGAGAGAGAGAGAGAGAGAGAGAGAGAGATGTAACAGCTGGCATTTAAGAGAGTACGTTTAGTTGTTGCTTATAAACAGGTTAACTTTGCATTGAAATGCTGCTCAATAGGGCTGTCGAGCTGCTCGAAAGTTAAGCTAGTATTTATAAGAAATATGAAGTAAATATAAAATAAATGTAACATTCAAAAGTAAACTGGAAATTAGCACAAAAAATAAAATAAATTGAATTAATATAAATATTTGTTATAGATATTCGTTAACCCAATGTTTATTCCAAATATTTATAAATTAAAAATATATTTAAAAACTGTGCTTATGTGTTGTATATTACTTATTAAATTATTATTGTCATTATACATTAATAAAAGTGACAATTAGTGGATAATTTTTTTCTTTACATGCAGCACTGCTATCATATGCATACATTATATATGATCAATATAGTTAATCTCTTTTCGACCAAAAGTAGATAAAACATTACTCAATTTTATGATTTAATAATCAAACTCTGTTAATGCTATCTAATGTCAACAGCCAAAAAAATATTACCCAAGTATTAGCTCATTAATAATTCCTTATCTGTGTTAATTTCAGCCACTATCTTATCTATTCGATATAGCCCGCATATATTAGCAGCCTTGTCATACTATCTTATTGACTTACTTCAATATCGCTTGGCAACCCTAAAGAGTTTCTCTTAAGCACAGCCGTGCTCTCTCTTTCTCTCTCGCTCTCTCTGTGCTGTGTGGCTTTGGCCATTTGTTGAGCTGTTGTTGTTGCCAAGTTACCAAGTTGGCTTGGTTACTCATTTGTTTTGCCAATTTCTGTAGCATTGCAGGCGGTTTCAGTTAGTACCGAACCCTCGCGCCAAACAGACGTCGTGCATTCCATAGCGGAAACCCGAGCGAACCGCAGACCAAAACAAAAGAAAAACCCAAAAGCGAACTACCAAAAAAGTCGCGTTTCTCGGCATCGGCATCGGAATCGGAAGTTCTTTTTGGCTTGCTGTTGTCGCCGCCGCAGTCGCCGTCGTGACCGAGAGGTTTCTGTTTGTTATGATATATCCATCTACCTAAAATACATTCAAAGTTAGTTAGTTAGCTGGTTGGCGCGTTGCGAAAGTGGAAAGTAGTATCTTTTTGTTTGCTATAGATAAAACTCAAGTCGAGAGCTAAAAGCACGCTAAGCGCGCATTCAATTTTTTCTGCTCTTGTTGTTGTTTTGTCAATAAAAGCTGAGAACCAGACAGAATATATATATACATATTTATATAGTGATATACTTAACTATGTGACTGTGGCACATATAACGGAAGTGCTTGACTCGCACACAACAACAACAACAATAACTAACTACGTGTGTGTGTGTGAGTGAGTGTGTGTGTTGCTAACCAATAATAAAACAAATTAAATGTTGGCCAAAAAACGAACGCATTAAGCGCATTTTATATTGGCTTTAACAACAACAGCAACAACAATAACAACAAAAGCAGCTGCCACCAAATGCAGCAAAGCGTGAAGTGCTTGCCAAATGAATTTTCTATATACAAATATATACTACATACGAAATGAAGCATTAGAAATTCGTATTTAAAGCTACGGCTAACACTAACAATACCCAATCCAAATTTGGCGCGACAAAACTCGATTTTCAGGCGTTCGATCCATTGACGTCAAATGTTATAGAAATTATAAATACCTACATATATATTTAACCCAGAAATGCGATATTAGCTTACATGAAATTGTGCTGAAAACCCAACTTAAAAACCATACTAAAGTCTGCCTAACTAAAAATTCACAAACATATTCCACCCATACATATGTATCTATTTATATATTCGAATGTATATAATACACAAAAGTATTTAACACATTTTGTCACGTAAATCAGTAGAAATAATATTTAAGGTAAGCTTTATAAAGCTTAAAAAATTCCAGATATACATATGTACATACATTTATATAAAGTAAAAGGTCTCTAAACGGATGGGCATATATTAATATAAAATATAATTGATTTTTCGAAATTCTATTAACTTTTCGAAAAGTAACCAAATTCTTAACCCTTAGACGGCCCCGAGTATTAACCCTCTTGCATGCAGCTTAACTAAACGTTCATTATATTCCGTATTTATATGTCATCCTGTGTGTGTGCACTCACAGACACACATACATAAATATGCATATATATATATTGACCTGGTCGACTCTCCATATCCACAGCCCTTAGTCTGTAATCGAAAACGTGCTTGTAAATGTGCAACGTGATCGGCGCTCCTTTTTTGTTAGCTTAGCTCAGTTTACGTGCTCGTTTTTGGGGCGGTGAGCAGGTCTTGTATTATATTTCCATATCCCTTGCTGCCAATTTGGCTGTAATTCACAGTAATGCTATTTACTTACTAAACTTGCCTGCTATTTACCAACATTAATAGTTGAATCGCCATACAAACGCATGCTGGGCTGCTCCTGGGCAGCGGACATCTATGGAAACATCATGTGGCTTGGGCCTGTCATTCCCGAGGCACAGCTACAGCATCATAAGGGACTTCAGCGTCATCAACAACAACAACGACAACAACAGCAGCAACAACAAGAGCGACTACAGCGTGTTGTCTTGTATCTGAAAACCTAACCTAATAATACAAAGAAGAGAGAGAGAGAGAAAAAAAAAAAAAACAAATTATAATCGCCGCTAACAAAATAAATCACTAATCGCTCGCTCGCTCGCTCGATTGCCCGGTCGATCGCCTTCATCAAATCTAACAAGCAATAATATACATATAAATTATTATATATCGCATTTTTGTGTTATGTTTGTGTGTGTTTTGTTTGTTGTTCGTAATACCACCCAACCACCACCACTTACCGCCTGCCGTTAACGATCATGCATAGACCAACGCTAGCAAATCCTATAACTGCTGCCGGTATTGCTTCATCCATATCAAACAACAACTACAACTACAAATCAAAACGCGCACGTCAACTCAGCAAGCCCACAACGGCCGGCACAGCAGCAGGGGCGACAGCTAAAGAGTCTGCAGTCGATTTGTCATCGCCACTCTACGATAACCATTCGCACTCCTCACTAATTGACGCTTCAATTGATTTAGAACATTACATCAGCGCCATGGAGGCACGACGCAACGAGAGCGAACCGGATGTGTGGGCTCAGTTGCAGCAAAAGGAATCGGATATACTATTAGCAGCAGAGCTGGGCAAAGCTTTGCTAGAAAAGAACGAGGAACTGGTGAAACAGCAGGAGAAGCTAATTGAGGAATATTCTAGCAAAATTGAGGTAAGTTGACATATGAACTAAAAATATTGTATTAACAAGAAAACCATATGCCGATATTCAAGTCAGCTGGCAACGCTGATCGACTTTTGTCCTTCGATTACCTGTAGCTTTCGTGGCTTTTATCGATAGTGTGAACTTTAAAAGTTGAATTTGAGTGTTCCGCTTGCTGTCAGCGCTGATCGCATATGCTCTGACTCATCTTTTGATTTGTATTGATTTTGTGGCCTTACCTGACAAAAGCTGACTTAATTCCCAGCTATTAATACAGTCCTCTATAGTATATGCATAATTTAATGCATATTGATTAATTCTCTTCTTCTTCACTCCACCTGTTCAACGGCCAATTGCAGCAGGACACATTTTGTCAACTGCAATGTCGTACGACAACGTATTAAATATTTATTTACAGAAGTACATGACAGCCATGGAGTATGGACATACATATGTATGTACCTACATACATATCTACATATGAATGTATGCATGTTTGTGTGTATCCCAAGTGAGTGGTCAACGAAATGTTTGCCTGACATGTCCCATAGAATTCACGATAAAAGTGCGCAGTAAACTACTGAGCTACAAACACACATGCAATGCATACCTTCATACATAAATACATATATGCATAGTAGTTATCTACGTAATGTTATCGATTTTTCATGCTCTTACTTTGCATTGGTTGCATTCTAGAGTTTACACAAACCGTTGCAGCCTTAGCAGCTATTTAGCTATTTTATTCTTCTATCAACTAGCTGTACTCTGATAGCGCCATAAGTCAAAGACAATACAAGGAAACATACGCCAATTTGTTTATCTTTATCAATGCCTGTGTACGACGACGACGACGACCTTGAACCACAGTGGGTGTTGTGTGCGCTCGCACACCTGTTTACATACGAGCAATAGACAATGTTCTATAGCTAATATCCAGAGCTAATGCCCAGATAACGCTCTAGCGCTCTGGTTCAAGGCATAACACGCGCCCGGCTCAAGTTCGTGGTCGTTCATTAGCATATTACTTGCTGCGTATTTAACCAAAACTTTATGGAGCCACCGCCCGCCCACGCCCATCCCAGCGCCCAGTGAATAGTTAGGCTAATGGAATTGTTCTTTTTGTTGTTCACAAATTCTGTTTTCTTATCAATTATATTGACTTTTGGGCATTCGTCATGTAAACGCAACGTTAATGTCAATGGAACCAACCGTTCCATGGGAGCTGCTAGGAAATGTGGGTATGTAGTTATTTGGGTATTCTAGGAAGTGTAGTGCCCTTTGGTGTCAGTAACCCAGACAGAGGACGGAACGAGGCGTTGAACTTGAATTAAATTCGATGCGTATGCAGGTTGTACGACTGAGTTGGTTTAGTCATGCAAAGAGGTGTAGTTTTTTTTCCGTTCGGGCTTTTTGAAATTGTCGCATGACTTCATCTTCATTTCGAAAGCATATATATATTTAGTGGGAAGGCCACTCTAGGGAGCTGACCGACTGACTAACACGAAATAAATTTTTCAAGGAGACTATTTTGTAATATTTTTAGAGAATACACTTTGACTTTGACTTGTTTTCCTTCTAAAAATTAATAATTTTCAAAATTTGGTTCCCATGTCTTTCGATGACCTATCAATAATCGATTGTCTTGTGGTACGCCTATTAGAAATCCATAAGAAAACGCAGCCAAGTGAACCATTTAAAATCTACTGCTGTGTAGCATTATTCATTAAAATTATTGCGCTCATCCAGCGAAACAAAAACATTTTCCCATGTTCCACTTTTCATTAACCAAAACACAAAAAGAGAAGTACAAAGACAATAACGATTCGCTTCAAGCTTTTAACTCGAAATTGGTCAAGACGCAAAGGTCAAATGAGCCGTTGAGTGATTCAATTTGTCATTCGGAATATTTCAATTAATTTGCAAGCTCAATGGAGCAGGACTCGTGGCGTGTGGCACGTGGCATGTGGCATGTGGATGCCGCATAAATCAGATAAAGAAATGTTAGCTAAGCTCTTTGCGAATTCGCAAAGTTTTTTTTTCGCATATGCAAAGCGAAGAGCATATCTACTAAAATGGGTGTCTAATTAATTTTTGGAGGCTCTGATGGCCGCTGATGCGTCATAAGCACAATGCCACATTTGCCATTTGGCATTTGGCATTCGCTGTTAGTTGTGGGCCATTTTAGTTGATGTCCAGGCATAATGTAGTGTGCGTATATACAATATACAATATATAATAGTTGCTATAGCTATGGCTGACTGACGTAATTAGAGTTGGGACTGGCCAGTCTATTGTGTAGGTGTGTAGGTGTTGGCTTAGTTCGTGGTTCGAGTCATCAAGCGCGCCTTTTTTTGCGGTCTGTTGAAGCGTGTGTGCCAATTTATGAGCATGGGCCTTTATTTTTAGCTGATTTTATTATTTATTTTGATTTGCTTTATTTTCTGACCAGCTTTCGTAATATACTAAGCCCACCATGTAAATGAGCAACGTACATATGTATGGGCGCAGCTGCTGCGCATTCACTGAAAATCTAAATATTTACAGCGCTTTCCAGACTTTTCCTTTGTGTACATAGAAGAATAGTTGATGGTTCTTTAAAACTTTCTAAGGTTCTCACGCATTTTTCAAATTATTTAAGCTGGGGCTCTTTTCTTTAACAAACTCTCGGCTATCAATATTGTTGGCTATTTATGTGTAAAATATCACACAGTTTCTTGTAGTATTCGATGCCTGCTCTAAAATATCTAGTTCACAGTCCGAAAACAAACGTTGCTTTTTGCCATTGTCTGAGAAACGGGTTTTATTTTTCTTCGCTTACGCCCAACTGGCTGACCATGCTTTTATATTTAGTTTTTCTCATTTTTTTGTATTTTGAACTAAAACCCGCTCCGGAGAACAATTGGCGATTGGCCTATCAATTGAAGTTGTAGCTTAGTTCGGGTCTGTCGTTTATCACGATTTACTGCCAATTGTTGTTATTATTTGTTAGGAAATGAATTGAGATTGAATCTCTGAAATATTTCCAACACTTTACCGTACCTCTCTAATGCTATTGCTTTGTCATTTCTTGGAACAACTTTTGAGTGGGCGTATGAAACGCTACAAAATATCTATATACATACATATGTATGAATGTAAGTTTATATGTTTAGATACTGCATACATTATAGAACTTGTTGTGTTTACCTCTGGCCTTTTCGAAAGTCCGTTTCGCCTTGCCGATTTAATACGTTAAGTGAACTAACACGTTCTTTCATTGTTTGTTTTGTTTTAGCAACCAGTTTCTTTTTCTCTCTAATTTATTAAGCCGCTCTTGTGCCCGCCCCTTCTCAATGCAATGCCAATTTTCAGCGACTGCAATTATTCTTGAGATCTTTGCTAAGAACTTAATAATATAACTCGCCTTGATTAGCATTGATTGCAACAGGATGCATTTAGATGCAGAAACATGCAAAATCGAAAATGAGCGATTATTTAAATAGTAAACGGAAACGTGACTATAAAAAGTGGAGAATAATCGATTGTAGAACGTTTACCAGCCAGCCCGCCAGCTATCGATAACATGCCCACTTGACACTTCGCCAACACTGTTGCTCATCAAAATGGCCATTAAAAACGGCAAATCATGCGCTTTAATTTCGTGGTTCCGCCTTTCGCCCGCCCACCGCACTTCAAACTTACTTGATTGACCATATAAAGAACGCCGATCTTCAACGCCTAAGAACACAAAAGCAGCGTATGGACAAAGGCAACAACCTACACAACAACCTATACCAAATGTAACTGTTATTCTTTTTTTTTTTGTGTGAGGCCTGGATTAGATAATATTGAAAGCCATTCTGAACGCAAGTTTCTCAGACATTTTATAGTTTATTTTTATTTGTATTTTATTTTCAATGATTTTGATCAGAAAATCAAAAGCTCGGCTCACGTACGCGATCAAACTTCTCTTTTGGGGTGAAGTCATCAACATACATATATCGTCGCTTGCCGTCCGTTGTCCGACAATTTATCGACAAATTCGCAAACAAAAACAAAAACAATAACAAAAATTTCAAAATTAACTCATTTGCATGTGAGTGTGCGAGTTCGTACGTCCCAGTTGATGAAAACCAGTTTTTAAAATGGTTTTTATGCAGTCTATAAAATATATACATACATATGTACATATATACTATATATATGTGTATATATATTTTGTTTTTGTATATTCTTTGATTGCTGATTCATCATACTCGAAGCTAAAGCTCATTTCCCTCTCATTTCTCTGACTTTAGCTCAGCTTTACTTCTTTGAAATTGCGTGGCACGCAGTTTTATGACCACTCCTCCCCCTCTCTCTCACACTCTCCCTTCACATTTCCACCTAGCATAACCTGGTTAATAGTTTTGGGTTCGTAGTACGCTGCAAATTAAGGTCGCTCGACATAGTTGCTATGAATATTATGTCTACAAATTCATATACGATTGTATGTATGTATGTATGTGTGTCTGTGTATGTGTGTGTACTGGGCCTAGCTATGGTCAGCCCATTTAGCAGTTGCCACTTGGCCAGTAATAGCATTTCTTTATTTGTTTATGATCTGGTCGAATGGTGTGCAAATGTCATGGTGACTCTGTTTCTTTTACCTATGGCAAATTACTTTCCTTGTTTGGCGGGGCATTCGGTTTTTTGTGTGTCACAGGGGAAACTTGAGTTTTTAATGCGGATTTTCCGCATTATTTCTGGGGGCCCTTTTGCTTTTCAAATCGCAACTAATGAGCTTTGACGCAAAAACCACACAAATATTGCTAAAAGAAAATATGTTGCATCTGATTGCCGTTGGAAAAACTGTTTTAAGAGGGTCTTGAACTCGCCATCACAGAAATTAGTTCGCATCAAAACGGATTCGATTTTTATGTACATCTTTTTAGATCTCATAAGAAACATGAACCGAGATGTATAAAAACTCAATAAGCTGATCAGAATGCCAATGAAAATATTTGATAATAAATTAATGAAATAATATATACGTAATTTATTGATCATCAACACTCATGTCTGAGTTTAGGAACCTCTCAACAACAATAAGATAATATGTAAAAAACACGTTTTATTTGTTCTTAAATTAAAAAAAAAAAAAAAAAAAAGGTTTTAGATTTTAAATAAAAAAAATATAATAATAAATAATATATGACCATATATGCAATGTGTTTAGCATTACCAGTGTTGAAAAACATAGTTATTTCACTTTCTCAAGTAGATTCTTGTCTGATTTGTAGTGAATATCTTAATTTCACTTTCTATTTTCTATTAACTTTTGAATTATTTATAATATATATTTATATAATAATACAATATAGTATAATAATAAAATAAATAATAATCTGCCAATTGTTACTTGATCGAAAATAAAATTTCAATTTATGCGTTTGTTAAGACGCTGCTTTGTTAGAGTTTGAATTGTGTTGATTCAAATTTCTAAGGGATTTGAATTCAAATTTGTCAATATGCGTTTATGCGTTCTGGTCGCCTTGACTGTCGATAATCCATGGCACTCTGCATACAAATTAGTGAATTCCTCATTTGGATGTTATGTTAATGGATACGATTCTCTTTAGCTTGAACTGCAAAGCTTAAACAACGTAAAAATTGATTGAAATGATTTTCATGACTTATATTCTAAATGTTCAGGAGAAATTCCGAATTTCGATAAAATAAAGTCCATTTCAAGTTCAAGTTAATGATAGCTCTTTTGATATCGCATCACACACAGCTCGAATTGCAGTTGATTTTTTATGAACCGAAGAGCTTCAATAACTTCGATAGTCCGCAATTGTCACAGCGGCTGCACTCATTTGCACGCTCATCGAATTACAGATCTGCGAAGTGGACCCTCAGGCTGAAGTCATGATCAGCTAACTGTAGCTGCAATTACGTATAAACTATGGGCATATTTCCATGTAATTTAATAACGCTTGACGTCTTGCAGGAAGTAAAAAGTATTCAAAGCTTTTGCTGTTGCTGTTGCTGCTGCTGCATGTCCGCTACAAATTAAATCATAATTGTATTAAACATTGATTTAATTTCGAAAGAGTAAGAGAGCAAGATACAAATTGCATAATGCTGGACTGACCGGGGCTGGCCTGACTTGGCATGGCCTCCAAGAGCAACCTCAGCGAGGAGCAAACGGTAACAAATCGTTTGCCCCGTCTGCCAATCATCCGAGTCTCTGTCAAAGTTTATTGATGTGCAAATTAGTATGAACTGCTCGGTGAGCTATATAATTATCCATCATGCAATGTCTGCCTGACATTGGCAGCGAGTCGACTCCACAGACGACGACGAAGGCGAAGAGGCGGCTCCAACTCTCAAGAGTATTCCAACAATGAGAGCACCTTTAGCTCATTGTTGTTGCTGGTTTGTCGTTGTTACATACCAAATTATTTTGTTCCCATGTAAGCGTGTGTTTGTGTTTGTATTTTCTTTAATTGTTCTCTCTCACTCTGCCACAAATTTTGCTATCTTTTTTTCTGTTTAATTTTATAACGAATTGTTGAAGGTGAAAGCATTTTCACTTTCCAAAACAATTTGATGTCAAAGCGAAACTTGGGAACAATAGCCACAGCGTTGCTAATATAGGTCTAAATGAGACTCTGATATCTTAACTATACGTATCTATAAATATAAAATTATAATATGATATGTGTATAACAAATGTGCAGCTGAGATAGTTATTCATATATGTGGGGTTTATCAAAGTGGAATAACAAACGAATAATGCTCTTTAAAGATTTGAAAAAATCTGAAAACATTAGGTCCAACGAAGGCGTCCAATTAGCCACGAGCCGAGAGGTCTATAGAATTTGTTGATCTAATTTTGGAGCACTACATTCATGTGAAGTTCTAGTTCTAGATACTCTTTATAAACGAGAGAATGCTATCCTAATTTGCCACGCCTTCAATATAGTCGGATTATAGGTATATCTATACAGGAACATAACAGTCAAGTATAGAAATTCTAGCTAAAGCTGAACATTCTAATGTGAAGCTGTTCTCATAGTTTTCAAAACCTTATATACATCCTATATACTGTAATGATAAATAAATCAAATTAAGATTAGGCAAAGTATATGCATAGAAGTATATAATCTTTAATTCATGTTCAAATTCATTCATCTGTAGCGCAAATTCACAAATGAATAAATTTGTTTACTTATTCATTTATGTAAAATTAATAATTTATGAGAAATGAAGAAAATGTACTCCTTTATATACAATTAAATAATTTTGAATAATATTATGAATAAATACATTAAGACTTTGAATTTAAGCTTTGCAAATGTTTTCATTGAATGCATTTGTTTTCTTTTTTGTGTGCACTATTCGAGTGTAGTATAGGGGAATTTATCATATATTATATCATATCATATCTCGTAGCACTTATCATTTCAGTCAGCCCACTCACAAACCTTTTTTTTTGTTTTTATTACTATGTATTTTTCGAGTGGCTGACTCAGTTATATTTAATAAATAATATCTTTATATGCCAAGCAAATGCACACTCCTCGCAGATATACATATATGTATGTATATATATATATATATATGTGTGTATGTGTGTGTGTGTAGAGAGCTGCTAATTGGCCAGCTTTCATTGCAATAATAAAAATATTTGAATTGTGACTAAGAGAGACAACGAGCCCAATTGGCATATTCAAAAGCCAACACAAATGCAAATAAATATACATATGTATATAATATAGATATAAATATATAAGAGTTTACATATATCTACATATACATATATATTTGTAATATTCATATACGTATATGCCAATCGAACGTTAGCATGATGACAATAATAGACGATTTCACAAAATACGATACCAAAAGCAAAAAAATAAAAACAATGCATGAGTGCGCATGACTATCAGATACCCTGTATACCAACTGAAGCAAAGCTTTTTATACTCATTCACGAAGTGAATTAGTATATTGGTTTTGTGCAATGTCCGTCTTGCTGTCCGTCCGTCTGTCCGTCCGTCCGTCTGTCCGTATGAACGC